AACCCCTCCCAGCTCTCCACTCCATTATCCAAGTCATTAATGAAAACATAAAATAGTACCAAACCCAGCACTGACCTCCGAGGAACCTGAGTAGATACACCTTCCCGGTTTGACAATGAACTACTACTCTTTGAGTATAATGTTTCAACCAGTTGTGCACCCACCTTATAGTAATTTCATCTAGACCACATTTCCCTAGTTTGCTTATGAGAGTATCATGTGGACTATATCAAAAGCCTTACTCAAATCAAGATATATCTCATAAAGCAATACAACAGTAATATAATTACACATAAGAAAAGCAACATACTACCAAAATCATTAAGGACTATGCTGTGCCTTTTAGGCACAGCCCTGCATTGGGGGTCAGTACAGAGCTGCACTGTCCCAGAAGGTAAATGGCAGGTTGAGGTCATTTGTCTGCCTCTGATGGACTCTCACCCACTCTGTGGATCCAGAAATGGCTTAACCCTTAGGCTCATAAAATACTTCTAAAGGACAGATTTTTTGCTTTTGGAATGGGCTAGGTTGTTGTATCAAGTGGTAGATACTTAAATTAAAATCCAGACAGTGCATGCTGCCAACCTTTTGACATGGATACTCACCTTCTTCCCCCATCTCTGGGTATATGAGCACAGACAGATGTATAACACATGCAATTGTTGCACACTCTGCTGTATTATCACCGTAGCCAGCATTTTTATCAGGAAGAAAGTGTAAATGTTTCTAAATAAGTGCAGCTTAATGTACTTTTTTGCCTCCTTTTTTATAACTATACCAAAGAAAGTGTTTTTGTGTAAATAGGAAAACAAATTAATAGATGCCTCTCACACTACTTCTGCAAATTTATGTATACTGGATATGGAGTTCATTGCAGTCAAAGGAAGAATATGTGCATGAGTAATACATACTTAGCACCAAATCTACTCAAAAAATCATAGCAAGGACATTCTTCTTGCTGCATTTAGGTAATTGATAGATGGACTTTCTTTAATTGTTGAAGTTAGCTGAACACTCTGTTAAAGTGGTATTTCTTCTGAGCAGGAAGCATATTTATTTACAGCTAAATGTCAGCAGGGCTGTCAGTTTTCATCAGCTACCTGGCAAAATCTCTGAATGAATGATGCTTTGTTTAATTATTGCATGGAAATTACTGTAAGGGGTATTGAATTGTGGATGTGGCTTGAAATGACAAATATGTGTTTGTAGAAACTACTGACAGGCATGGGTAGCCATGACTTCAATTGTTGTGAGGTAAAATCTTCAAGGTGAAAGAGGCACGGTTGTGTGTTAGAGAATAATTAGAAGTACAGTGTTACCAGTATCAAGTGTCAAAAAATCATGAGTTGGGCTTCAAAAAATCATGCCACTTATAAATATGTAAATTTGGGGTTCTTTTTATTTGCTTTCTGGTTTCTGAGACTTTAGGATACACTGGAGTCATGTTTTCAAGCTTTTCTCCATAAAACTGAGATACCCATGTAATCACATGAGTCCAGAAGCTGTTCTGAGACTTGAGGTAAAATTGTGAGAGCAGCAACACTGCATGTAAAATATATGTCATTCAGTGAAAATGATTTCAAAATTAAAATTAAAGAGAGTTAAGCTCTCAAACATATAATTAGTGAAATTTGCCTACTCAAGAAAACAAAAGTGATACTGAACCAAAGTATGTATGGGAAAATCTGAAAATATTTTTGGGGCACTGAGTGACTTTTTACATGGCCTCAAATGTTGCAAAAAAGGTAATGTCAAATTGTAAGTTTTCCAGCATGCTAAAATGTACTAATTCTCTGGGCCAAACCAAGAGGCCCTTTAAGGCTGTGAAGACTTTTATATTCCTAATCACAGGATCTGGATTAATAACAATGTTCAGCTTATGAATCCAAAAGAATTATTTTTGTTGTGACCACAAATGAAAAAGAAAAATAGAGCCTGCTGGGCATGTATGGCAGTCTGTCAGCAGAGTTTTACAAAAGAGAAAAATGTTTTACTTTGGTGTTGCAATGTACTGTGAGAAAAGGTCACATTCTTCAAGAAGGTTTTACTGTGTAGGAGTAAACTTCAAAGAAAAACGTGTCAGGAGACTGTCTTATTGGGCTCTAAGAAACATATACATTGCTTACTTCTAGTGTCTATGAAGACTAATAAAGAATAGATGAATAGGAGTATTTAGGCATGCATGATTTAGTTCAATTAATTGTCTGTTGTACTCAGGGAAAGACTGGTATTTCACTAGGCAACCATTTTAACATTCTATACAGGTTAAACCATAGTTTTCTGGATTTTTGTATCAACAGTTCAACTAGCAAGGTCAAAATAGGAAAAAAGACCTGTTGTGTCTGGAGTTTGGGTTTTGAATCCTAAAAGGAAAGTCGTGTGTGTGTTGTTCATGATCATTTTTAGAAAGTGTAGTTGAGTCTTTGTTTGTTACATAACAACATAAGAACAGCCATACTGGGTCAGACCAAAGGTTCATCTAGCCTAGTATCCTTTCTTCTGACAATGGTTAATGCCAGGTGCTTCAAAGGGAATGAACAGAACAGGGCAATTATCAAGTGATCCATCATCCCTTGTCATTTAGTCCCAATATCTGGCACTCACAGAAATGGGAAAAAATATTCTTTAATATATTTTTGGAGTTTGTGTTTTTACCTTTTGACTTCCTATCAAGAAGTGCCAAATGTTAGAATACGTCATTGAGGTATGATGTCACATAAGAATGATTTTAAAAAGCACAACAATATGTTCCTAACGCAGAAGTGTAATTTATGTTTTCTTATCTTTCTCTATGCACAATTAAATTAAATTTGTAAGGTGATTTATTGTTTTAGGCAAAAAAAAAATGAAAAAAATGTAATCAAATGCCCAGATTGTTGGATGAAATGTTATGCCTGGCACTAGTTCTCGTGTTACAAATTGGAGCTACCACTTTTGATCAGAATGTGCAGAATTTCTTTGCATTTTTCTGACTTTGGAGCAAAAGTGCTTGTTTTTAAAAAAAAAAAAAAAAAATTCTTAACTTTGAAAGTAAGGCCCGTGCTCTGCAGGAAATCAAGGACAGTGCCTGAATGACAATAAAAATGGTTTATATTTAACTTTCTGGGAAGCCAGGCTGGGAAACAGAAAATTACCCAAGGAGGGTAAGTTACATGCCAGGGGACTACTTGAGGACCTTTCATCAAAAGCAGCACTTTCTCAGATTGATTGTTTTGGAAAACCAAGAAAATTGGTTCTAGCCAAGACAGGAATGGATCGTAAAGCCATTTTCTTTCATTAGTGTGTTTTGGAGTTTCAGCATCAGTACCAGACCAAAAAAAGAAATAAACATTCAACTTTTTGAAATTAGTCACAGTTCTCAAAATACTACTTTCTCTACTTCAGTAAGTAATTTTTGAACTCTTCTTTTCCTTTCTAGGCTGCTTCAAGTTATTTATAAACTCTGAAAGAATACTTTTAACACAGAATATTTTATTTAGCATAGATGAATACTGTAAGCATCTCAATATTATTGCTTATTGTAGCATCATCTACAGCTTTTTTCTGGTTTTTTTGCATAAATGGCATAGAATGTGATACTGTAAGAAGTCGATCTTTTATATTTTAGTTGAAAAATAAGAACTAGATTATGATACTCTTTTACCACAAGTAGATCCATTGACTTTACTTACCATGAGAAAAGATATCACAATCTGGCCTTAAAGTTGGATCATTTAATTACAAAGGCATTGCCCCAATTTGGTAGGGGAAAGATACTCCTGTGGATGCAGTGATCAGGAAGCTTACATTTTCTTTAGAAACATGCTAGAAGTCATTATTTGATACTTTGCTCTTGTAGTAAGATAACCCTAAAACTTTATTCCCTTAATTCTGAGAAGAAGCTTATTTTTTGTAGACTAGACAAGCAAGGAATATTGCAGAAAAATAGAGACAGATCTGTTCAGTGGTTCAAATCCAAACAGAGCCTGCAGTTCATAAGCAATATCTAGCGCACACAACCATAATGCAAAGCTCAAAGAAGGCCCTGTATTTATATTTCTGAGGATGTAGAACAAACGTGATGTGATGTGCATGAAAATTTAATGAGAAGAAAAAAGAAGGAAGAGTTGTCTATGTACTTTTTCTTCTTACCTCAAAGATTAGCTTATGAATGACACTTTCACTACTAGAAATGTCTACGGCTCTGAATATTTTTGAGCAAAGAAAAGGGATGTTATGGACGTTTTCTTTATCTGAACAAATAATAAGGTCCCTCAACACTTCATTAGTTTCACTGATACAAAGAGCATGTCTGGAATATATAAATGTTAGCCAAACAAATTCATTCCATCTCAAGAAGCTATATCATGGCCTTTATCAAGTACTGTTGAAAGAAGCGAGGTTTTAGTTTTCTTTTGTATGGAGGTAGGACATTCCAGTTGTTCTACAGACAGCTACGAGTAACATCTTATTCTACAAATAGAGACATTTAAATAAATGTCTACTACTTGTAGTGTAAGGTGGTACTCAACATGAGTGAGAGCATCACAATCTAAGACAAGGTGCTTAAAGACCATGCGTGATTTTATCCTGTAAAATCTCTGATCTGAGTCAAAGCTCAGTTTCTGCGTCTGCGTAACTGGGTAAAAATACGCTTTAAGGTAGAGTTGGAGGGTTTGATTACTATATAATAACAATTCACTTCAGTTTGTAATTGTTGGTGCACAAAGCCATCTGGGTGCCTTAACAGGAACAACATGAATACGTAGTTCCATAATGTGCTAAAGAAATACGTTGAACAATTTTAAAATATTTAGGCCAAGATTTTTAAATCTGCCAAATGTGATTTGTTGTCTAAATTGTCTAGACATCTTTGAAAATCTCATAATTAATTGTTAGGATTTCCACGATAGTTTTCTTATAACTATTTAGAAAGTTAGAAATATTGTGGAATAGTTATTAAAAATTAGTCAAAACATTAGTCAAATAAATTAATTTATTTCCTTTGTCGTCATCCTCAGGAAAGATGTCCAGTGATCGTGCTCTGAGGAAACAGCAGCAATTGAACAATCTGGTGTCCATGGTGACAAAATTATCTAAACCCGGAGATGTGATTGTGGATTTTTGCAGTGGAGGGGTAATATATGTTCTCTGTATAAAATACAACTTTTTTTTTTTTAAATCTTTTACAAATCCAGTAGGACATGACTACAAAACAGAGTCTCATGGAGGATGGAACTTTCAGGGGAGTCAGGGACCAGCCTACCTGTGACAGGCGCCTGTAAGGGAGAACAAGCCAGTTCAGACCGACCTGCAAATAATTAAATTGCTAGGCAGCTGTCTGGCAGCTAATTAGTTAACAAACCTGATAAAAAATTACCAGGGTCCTGTTAAGGTGGATGCTAGAGGCTGGAAGCTCCTGAGGAGAGGAGCTCCCATGAGAGCTCAGTAGGCAAGTTCACCAGAGAAAGGAGCCTGGAAAGTGTGCTCCTGGAGAGAGGAGCTGGCTGAGCAACAGCACAAAAGCCTGGGCTGCTCAAATAGCTGTAGAAAGCAGCTTCAGGTGAGTGCTGCAAGGAATAAAGAGACTGAACTGAACCCAGCCCCAGGAAGGAAGGCTGAGGTCTCTGACTTGAGGAGAGTGAAGGTTGTTGAGTGACAGCGTAAGGCTGGAGCAGAGAGAAGGAATAGACTTTATTTTGGGGGTATATTTGGACTCAGTGTAGACCCCAATGGGGACTTTGAACTGAGTTGAGTTATTTAAAGAGTACAGAAGTCGGTTAACTGGGGAAGGATGCCTACATAGCCACCCTGAGAGCTTGAGGGGGTGGCTCTTGGGGATGACATAGGGAAAAGGTACAAACTTTGGAGTCTGAGCTGCTTTACAAAGACTCTGTCACTCTTGAAGGGGATCATTGTGAAGGGGGTCAGCTGCATAGGGTTTGAAAAGTGACTCATGTTTTTTTGGTTTTCACAGGGCCATGTCGGAATTGTTCTTGCTCACATGTTGCCATCATGCCAGGTAAAGTCCCAATAAAAATATATGGACAATGCAGTCTTCCAGACTTTGATAATTCACAACATTTTTTTAAAAAAATTCCATTAGATGGAAAGCACAAAGACTGCTAACAGTGATGATTTAGAGACTTTATTTATACTCTAGTTTGAGGCTCTGAATTTGTGCATATATCAATATTTGTTGTACTACAGAATTGTGCAGTGTGTGTCACCCATGAAAAAGATAGTTTCGAAGAATCAGCTTTCAAAAGATGCTAGAAACAGTGCCAAGTCCTCAGGGCCTGATCATCTCATTGGTGTGCAAGGCATTTTAAGTACAAGCTTAACTTGTAGCAGCACATGGTGAATTGTATCCCTATTCAGCAAAGCACTGAAGTACGCATTTAAGTTCTCTGCTGAATTGAAGTGTTGAATTGAAGGCTTCCTGGAGGAACCACTGGCCCACTTTTTTGATCAGTCCTAAAGTCATTTTGTGGGAAAAAGTCTGACTCCCCAACTTACATATGCTCATGACAGCAAAAAAAGGTAAGCACTGCCTTTCTCTTTGAAGGCAGCTCTGTCCTAAGTCTCGAGAGGATGTTTCCTTCATTGTGCTTGAGGCTCCAAGTGAACCTGAAAGGGTTGGTTCACTTCCAGCCACTTTCAGCACAAACGGTAGGGTTCAGATAACAAATGACATTGGGAACTAAAACCTGTAATTGCTCACAAGCCCCATTTCCTCAAACTTGTGTGGAGATTAGATGCAGCCTATACTTATGGCCCTTTGGTTTTGGTTTTTATTTAATTTTTCCCAAGAATTTATCGGTGTTTTATTACTACAACAACAAAAACAGGTGAAAATCAGTGCAAAAAACTATTAGTAATTTTTCTGGGCAAATAGGGTCTATTTTGGTGGATGGAAGATGATACAGATCTTTGTTTTCTTCCTGTTTTCGTGTGTTAAATCTTTAAACAGTTATGTGCTAAAAGCTTGAAAAGTGTGCATGGTGGGCTTGAGATTCATCAGTATGTTTAGATATGCATGCACTTCAGAGCTTGTGTGTGTGCCTGTTTGTTTATTGTGTGTATCTTCTAGACTAATATAGCCTTACTTCAACAGGCAACTTTGTATATGCACAGACAATTGTATTATCATAATGCATATATCTCATGCAAAGTATTATATTTTCCTAAGAAAACAAGTTATTTTTTATATATTTGAATGATACAAAAGTAGAGTGAAAATTGGAAAAAACGAACAATACTTTTTGTAAAACCCAGGATTTTTTCAGTAAAAATCAGTTTAAACTGAAAACGAAGCGGCTTACTTATACTATATATGATAGCTGTTATAAATCCCTTCAAGGTTTACTCCTTTTCTAGGAGCTAAGTATTAGTACTAATAGTAACGTATACTGTTCTAACAGAGCCCTAACTCAGAGTAGTCGTCATGCCCAGTGAAGGAACAAGACACAGATTACATTGAGAATATCTGCTTTAAAAAGTGATTGAGTTAGGGAGGCTACATCAAAAGAACAAAATGACACCTTCTGTCTTGATATATGGTGTAGACAAAACAGAACTATGAGTTACAGAACTGAAGATAAAATTAAGCTACCTCTGGAAAGCAGTTGTCAGTGGAACTTTTTAATCAGGTAATTACTAATTGCAAAGTCCACCCATTTTATACAGTTCTCAATATTTTTATGCACAAAACATAGTGTTGTGATGTGCTTTTTTCATATATATGTTTTATGGTTGTGAAAGGGGCAAACTAACAATGTTTGAAACTGCAGTACTGTCTCCCCAAGAACTTTACAGGGCCACAAATAATCCCTATCAACTCTGACCCAACTGAAAGCACTGATTTTTAGAGACAGATGGTTCTGTATTCTAATGTCAAACTTAGTGCAGGAGACAAGGAGGAGCTGGTGGAATTGTATCATACAGTCTTATTAAACATGTTTCTGTAATATATTTGTGCCAAAAAAAAAAATGTTACCTACCCTCACAAAAACAAACCCCTACCAGCACAGTACCTTTAGTTTCTAACGTATGCAAATGTTAGAATTTCAAAGTTTGGTTAGCTCCAAATAGATGTGAGACTTGACTGCAAAAAGAAAAATTCTGTTCAGAAAAACAGATCATATCTGTCAGTCCCTTGGTACTGGCAGATACTGAGCGCCTTCCGTCTATTTCACTAGCATATCACTTTCGGGGAGATCTCATCACCAGTCTCACGAAATTAAGTAAAGATTTTACACCAGAATATTGAGCTACTGTATAGTGAGTATCATTTTATTTTGATTTTAGAGCAATATTGCTGACTTATTTTCCTGTATATGAAATCCAGGTCGTGCTGATAGAAAATAAGGAGTTGTCATTGGTACGTGCTAAAGACAGAAGTGATGAATTAGGATTACACAATATTTGGTTCATTCAAGCAAACCTGGACTATTTTAAAGGAACTTTTAACATTGGGGTAAGTGATTGATTTTTCAACGTTAGAGTCTACTGATTATTAAGAAAAAATGTTTCTTTCTGTAGGTGATTGAGTATACTTACAAACAATTCCAGTACTTGGGAATATGAAGCCAGGCATTTCTGATGCTATACAAACTTTTTTTCTGTCAGCAGGAAATCAGCTTTGAATTTATTACAGTTAGGAGATAAGGTAATATTATCCCCCTGCTCTTAGTTGTTTGTTGAGTGATCACACCATTCTCTGCAATGTGCAAAATACAGATGAGGAAGATATTCTTGTTCCAAAGAGGTTGGTGTCTAAGAAGATCTTTAAAGTATATTAGCATTGTGTGATTATATGGTGGAGATGTATTGTGATGTAGCAGGGTGAGTATTTTTGTTTGTTTTTTAATTTATCATAGCACTTCATGGTTAGAGTGGTTCATGAAAGAACAGTACTTTTTTGAGGAAGGATTTGAAGATGGAAAAGCAATATTCACTGCACAGGGACTCAAGGTGGTATGAAAGGTGCAGCATGGAAGATGGTGTAAAAAACTTACCTTTATATATGGTGATGTGAACTTTAGAAATATTTTCAATATAGAGAGAATTCAGAGAAGGATGCAAAGGGGTAGTCAAGTATAAGGTGTTCGGAGAGTAAAGGGAGCAGAGGAGTGGGAACAATAAGACAAGATCAGAGTGGAGTTATGAAAGGCCTCAAAGGTCAAGATCTTTAAAGAACTTAAATTTGATGCGAAGTTGAGAAGGAACAAGTGGATATGTATCAGAGTGAGTGAGAAGGGAAAGGTTGCATTTAAAGGCTCAGACTTTATACCCAGGCTGGAATACTCCTAGTTTTCAGTGTTCTGACTGCCATACAAGTCACCCATCTTGCAGGCCAGTCCTGGCCACAGCTTAGGCTGCTTACATAACTGCAGGTTTGTGGTTCATATGGCTCAGTGGTACATCCTCAGTGCTCTGCAGTGTGTTTTTGTTTTTTCTTTAATCTTGTAATTCAGGAATAAGTATGAAGGGTTGATTATTTAGGCCCATTCATTTGCAGCTGTACAGCTGAACTATTTGTGCTATGGTAAATCACAGAAATCTCACACTGGGAGCCCAAGATGTTTTTCCAAAAGCCAGAATCTCCTTTATAATTTACTTCAATCCAGAACTTGTACACAAAACACGCAATTGTAGTTCATCATTTAAATTAATCACTAGGTTTTGCATTCAATGTAATCTCTGTTCAATTTTTCTGTTATTGAGATTAAGGTTGAGGTTACAGGGACAAACCATCCCAATGAGTCGAAAGAATAGTAAATATGGCAGGCGACCAGTTTGGCTTAATGGTGAAATCCTAGCGGATCTTAAACATAAAAAAGAAGCTTACAAGAAGTGGAAGGTTGGACATATGACCGGGGAAGAGTATAAAAATATTGCTCGGGCATGTAGGAATGATATCAGGAGGGCCAAATCGCACCTGGAGCTGCAGCTAGCAAGAGATGTTAAGAGTAACAAAAGGGTTTCTTCAGGTATGTTGGCAACAAGAAGAAAGCTAAGGAAAGTGTGGGCCCCTTACTGAATGAGGGAGGCAACCTAGTGACAGAGGATGTGGAAAAAGCTAATGTACTCAATGCTTTTTTTGCCTCTGTTTTCACTAACAAGGTCAGCTCCCAGACTGCTGCGCTGGGCATCACAAAATGGGGAAGAGATGGCCAGCCCTCTGTGGAGATAGAGGTGGTTAGGGACTATTTAGAAAAGCTGGACGTGCACAAGTCCATGGGGCCGGACGAGTTGCATCCGAGAGTGCTAAAGGAATTGGCGGCTGTGATTGCAGAGCCATTGGCCATTATCTTTGAAAACTCGTGGCGAACCGGGGAAGTCCCGGATGACTGGAAAAAGGCTAATGTAGTGCCAATCTTTAAAAAAGGGAAGAAGGAGGATCCTGGCCAGTCAGCCTCACCTCAGTCCCTGGAAAAATCATGGAGCAGGTCCTCAAAGAATCAATCCTGAAGCACTTGCATGAGAGGAAAGTGATCAGGAACAGCCAGCATGGATTCACCAAGGGAAGGTCATGCCTGACTAATCTAATCGCCTTTTATGATGAGATTACTGGTTCTGTGGATGAAGGGAAAGCAGTGGATGTATTGTTTCTTGACTTTAGCAAAGCTTTTGACACGGTCTCCCACAGTATTCTGCTCAGCAAGTTAAGGAAGTATGGGCTGGATGAATGCACTATAAGGTGGGTAGAAAGCTGGCTAGATTGTCGAGCTCAACGGGTAGTGATCAATGGCTCCATGTCTAGTTGGCAGCCGGTATCAAGTGGAGTGCCCCAAGGGTCGGTCCTGGGGCCGGTTTTGTTCAATATCTTCATAAATGATCTGGAGGATGGTGTGGATTGCACTCTCAGCAAATTTGCGGATGATACTAAACTGGGAGGAGTGGTAGATACGCTGGAGGGGAGGGATAGGATACAGAAGGACCTAGACAAATTGGAGGATTGGGCCAAAAGAAATCTAATGAGGTTCAATAAGGATAAGTGCAGGGTCCTGCACTTAGGACGGAAGAACCCAATGCACAGCTACAGACTAGGGACCGAATGGCTAGGCAGCAGTTCTACGGAAAAGGACCTAGGGGTGACAGTGGACGAGAAGCTGGATATGAGTCAGCAGCGTGCCCTTGTTGCCAAGAAGGCCAATGGCATTTTGGGATGTATAAGTAGGGGCATAGCGAGCAGATCGAGGGACGTGATCGTTCCCCTCTATTCGACATTGGTGAGGCCTCATCTGGAGTACTGTGTCCAGTTTTGGGCCTCCACACTACAAGAAGGATGTGGATAAATTGGAGAGAGTCCAGCGAAGGGCAACAAAAATGATTAGGGGTGTGGAACACATGACTTATGAGGAGAGGCTGAGGGAGCTGGGATTGTTTAGCCTGCAGAAGAGAAGAATGAGGGGGGATTTGATAGCTGCTTTCAACTACCTGAAAGGGGGTTCCAAAGAGGATGGCTCTAGACTGTTCTCAATGGTAGCAGATGACAGAACGAGGAGAGGGATAGCTCAGTGGTTTGAGCATTGGCCTGCTAAACCGAGGGTTGTGAGTTCAATCCTTGAGGGGGCCATTTAGGGATCTGGGGCCAAAATTGGGGATTGGTCCTGCTTTGAGCAGTAGGTTGGACTAGATGACCTCCTGAGGTCCCTTCCAACCCTGAGATTCTATGAATGTCTATGAAAGTTGCAGTGGGGGAGGTTTAGATTGGATATTAGGAAAAACTTTTTCACTAAGAGGGTGGTGAAACACTGGAATGCGTTACCTAGGGAGGTGGTAGAATCTCCTTCCTTAGAGGTTTTTAAGGTCAGGCTTGACAAAGCCCTGGCTGGGATGATTTAACTGGGAATTGGTCCTGCTTCGAGCAGGGGGTTGGACTAGATGACCTTCTGGGGTCCCTTCCAACCCTGATATTCTATGATTCTAAGGCTAAATTAAATGAGAGTGAGAGTTGTATGAGAGTTGTACTTTATAGGAGTAATTGTTATACTTCTGAGTTTTGTGACTAGAGGAATTTTACAGGATATGTCAGAAGACCTTCAGCTGAAAATTATTCAAGTGCTGGTCTTCGTTCATGTTTCAGTGACTTGATTATGTAAGTTATTTACAAAGAAAACCTGGAACATTGCTTTTTTATTGGGTCCAATGTCGCTTCAGAAGTTTTAGCCTAGGCTCTAAGACTGCAGTATAAGATCATGTGCTACTCTTCACTTCTCAGGATAAGGTCATTTTTCCTAGAGAGTCTGCTTCACTTCAGACTCAAACTGGCTAATTTTGCCTTTAAGGAACAGAAGTGTAGTGCAAATATTTCACATTACATACATTTGCATTCTTATTTCATGAGTAATAATCATGTTACATTGACAAAATTGTTATAATTTGCAAATGATAAATGTTAAACACGATGCAACAGCCAAGTAATATCATTACACAGAAATAAAACCGTATAGAAATAATTGACAACTGATATGGTTCTTGAAAGGTCCTAGAAAGACTTTCTCAAATATAATAATTCAATGTACCCTGAATATGGTTGATTATGAAAGAAGTATTTTAAGTTTCTCGTAGCATATTATTTGAAATACTGTTTGTATTGTTCATAAAATGGCATAGCAGCGGCACAGACAGTATAGACTACTTGACAGTGTTTGCATACTGAACATTTTAAACCAATCCGCCACAACTCAAATGTTCTTTAAGCACTGTGTAACTTAGTTGTGCTCAATGAAATATTCCTGATTGAGGCAGTCATTGGTCATGACTTTGAGGATAAACATGGAAGCAGGCTGTTCAGTTTGTTATGGACATCCAGATGAATATAAAAATAAAGATTGTTTTTGTTATCACTGCAGAAAATAACCTGTCATTGTTCATTTTGTTGCTGTATATTATGTACTTGGAAAACAAGGAAGAGGCAAAAAATTACATTTTGTATAAACCTGACAAAGAAGTCTTGACCTGTCCGGATATTTATTAGTGGGGAATATGTGTAACTGTTTTGAGCTACCTTCAGATAAAGATGTGCTGTTCTATTTGGTTGCTAGCTTATTGTTAGCTTCACATTTTCAAATGTGAAGTTAAGAAGAACTTGTCTGCCAAATAATTCCTGTTATTCATGAGATCAAATTGCAATATTTTAAATGCATGGAGTAATGAAAAAAACGGTTCCAAAACAGAGTATTCTAACATATGATCTAGTTCACGCTACTAAGCACAGCAAAGGTCTGGAGTCTAAAAGTAGAAAAAGCCTTCGTAATGCAGAATTGTCCTCATTTAAATGTCAAGATTCAGAATACCCCTTAAGATCTTAGCTATTTTTAATGATGATACTGATACTGTCAGAGCTGACCTAAGCAAAACAGTTGAAAAGTTTGGCTTGGTTTTCTGGCGCATTAGAGTCTCTTTCAATCTGGCAAAGATACAGCAAAGAATTAAAGATTAAAGAGAAATATGGTCTCCTGAAAAGTCCTCCTTTTTCTGCCACTTGTCTGCAAATGGTAAACCATGCTGAGGTGTCCCGACATTCAGGATATGTGACGCACAGCGTGTAGATATACACTACCACTACATCAGCTGTGTTGCTTCTGTGTTTGGGGAAGTGTCTCCATCATTATACAATTTTGTGACTGTAATGCATACATTAAGGACTAAATGAATTAGTTGTACAGATTCATATGAAGTCCAATAGAATAGGACATCATGACAAAACTCTATATTGGATGTTGTTAATGACATCCAGTTTTCAACTCTGTGGATTCTGCTGAGCTGAAAGGAGAAGTCAGTGGGCTTAAAGGTCATGCAGGATCAATAAAATAATTCTCTACTATATTAGTTAGCAGCAGTTAATGTTTCTTTTACATGTACCAGATCTGTGTTTTATCACTACACTGAAAGAAGAGCTCCTGCCCCCCACAAGTGAACTGGGAGAAGACAGGAATTAGTCAGTGTTGAACCTGGTAGCTGTGATTTTTAAAAATCTTCTCTTGTTTTAAAATTATTTTTGTTCAAATACTTTGTTTTTATATACAATGATGAACAGTCTGTTTGATACAGCCATAACACCTTTTCCTACACTAACAAGCATATTTCTGATCCTTCTGTTTGCAACTGTATTAACTACAGGTACTGATTGATTGCTTTGTTCACTGAGCTTACATAAAGCAATTTGCAGACAACAGTAGCACATTATCTGTTCTGTTTTGATTTTACACCAATTTGGGATTTAAGTTATTTTGCCTTCTGATTTCTGTAGTCAAAAATCTTATTGTGAACCTTTAAATATGAGTTTAAACCTTGTTTCAAAACTGCTATGCTAAAGACTGATTAAAACACATTTATATAAGCACACACAAATGCATGTCTGTGTGCACAATATTCAATTAAAGGGAAAACACATTGTAATTTCTCCACTGCTCAGAGACCATAGAGAAAATTAACAACCATTAATATGGTCACCTATTGTGCTCAAGTATTTGAGCATATATGGTCCTTTTCTCCTCTACATGCGAATGGCTTGTATCAATTGGTATCCTTAGCCTTAATGTTCTTTTGATGTAGTCTTTTTCCGTAGTACCTAGGTTTATGTTTTATAGTGGCGGGGAGGGGTATTATTTAATTACCAGTCTCAGTAATACGTTGACTGGAATCCTGTATAATTATTGCATGTAATACCATAACAAGGTCTACCATTTATGTGGATACTGTATATGATTAACTTGCCTTCGTCAAAATGGTAAAGTCAATGTAATCAGTCAGTAGTAGCTGCCTATGTCACTCTAACATATTTGTTTAGGGCCAGATTATTTCTGTCCCCTGTGTGGCTACATAATAGGGACTGGCACATGGGGATCTTTCCCTGTACAGGAACCAGGTGCTTCCTTCACAGGGGCCAAGCCCAGTTGCAGTCTCTGAGTTCCACTAGTGTGGGAAGTGCTCCCTGGTGCACTATTCATTCCAAAGAGCATGGAAAGGATATAGGGTTATGACAGGTCATGGAGGGGAATGGACACTAGGGGTGGTGCAGTGGGTGTGTGCCTCCTGAATTCTGGGAAGCTCCAGGACAAATAGGGCACTGTGGTTCCACGCTGCCTCAATGCCAGGTTCTGCGTTAGTTGCACAATCTGGTCTTTAATTTTTAAAATTTAGTCTGGTAACAAAAAGTTTGTGACAGACTGGCAAATTTTATATGGATATGATTATATGTAGTGAGATGGTGCCCAGAGGCCCCAACCAAGATTGCAGCCCTTATTGTGAAAAGCACTGTACAAACACATAGTAAGACACAGTTCCTTCCCAAGGGCTCTCACCGTCCAAGTAGACAAGACAGACAAAGTGGGAAGTATTGAGCACCCAACATTTGAAAATCAAACTTTGGTAAGGTTTCTCAAGTAGTACACCTGGAATCACTAGTCAGATACCTGTTTATCAACTACCTCAGCTACGAAGGTGCTGTCTCACAAACCTAAATTTGATTAAATATATTTTTCCTCTTTCTTGGCTTTACAGAAACCAAGTAGTCAAAAGTGTGTTAAGATTTTCTTACAATGAGAGATGCTATATAATGTGACCTATATGTGTTGTGACAGGGTCCAGGCCAGATGGCTACAGGAGAGTGATAGAAGGTAGATATATTAGCCCCAGATTAAGCAGGTCCCTTTCCCCTGAGTAAGATAATGGGCCGTTCCAGAACAATCAGGAAGTTGCTGGAACCAATTAAGGCAGGCTAATTAGGATGTCTGGAGCCAATTAAGAAGCTACCAGAATCAATTAGGACAGGCAGGCTAATCAGGGCACCTGGTTTAAAAAGGACCTCACTTTAGTTAGTGAGGCGTGTGTGAGGAGCTGGGAGCAAGAGGCAAAAGAAGCTGAGAGTGAGTAGGCATACTGCTGGAGGACTGCGAAGTACAGGCGTTACCAGACATCAGGACGAAGGTCCCGTGGGGAGGATAAAGAAGGTGTTGGGAGGAGGCCATTGAGAAGTAGCCCAGGGAGTTGTAGCTGTCACACAACTGTTACAAGAGACACTATAGAGAGTTGCAATCCACAGGGCCCTGGGCTGGAACCTGGAGTAGAGGGTGGGCCCAGGTTCCCCCCAACCCTCTCAACTCCCTATTTGAGACAAGAGGAGGTGACCTGGACTGTGGGTCCCACCAGAGGGGAAGGTCCCTGGCCTATCCCCCAAACCACTAGGTGGGTCAGCAGAGACTGCGGGGATTGTTCTCCTCCTTTTCCCCATGCTGACCAGTGATGAGGTTAGCTGAGTGAATGGCAGGTTTGAGCCACTAGCAAAACTGGCCAAACTGAGGGCTGCTGTGAATCTCTGAGGCGAGCAAATCCACCAATAAGCGCAGGACCCACCAAGGCAGAGGAGGAACTCTGTCACAGTGTGTGTTCCTGATTATTGTGTTTCACACATTGTTTTTATTATAAAATTTAGCTTTAAAATATTTCTGTACATTTCTAAGGATTTCTTACTTAGACTGAAATTCTTTACTAACTAACATGAGAGTTCGTTTTAAAATGTATTTTATGTGTATATTCAGTTGAATTGATATGGTATGTCCTGTAAAATGTCATTGGCAAGTAACTTTAGTTCAGCATCTGTAGCTTCTCCACCAACATGAATGGTTCATGAAGTTCCCTTGGCATTAAAATGAGCAAAAGAAATGTCTGACAGAGCCATGAGACACAGAAGCTGAGTGGTTGGGAATAGGCCTTTGCCTCACCCGGTAGCTTGCACTGCAGTGCATGGGGAATTTTCTTTAGATGTTCAGATAATTCAGTCAGCCAGAAAACTGCTAAGAAATAGAGTTGTAAGTGAACAGAACAGTGCTGTTAAGGTTTCTTTTTTTATATATTTTAGGTGGCTCTGCATGCTTGTGGCGTGGCAACAGATATGGTGATTGAGCACTGCATCGAGGCTCATGCAGCCTTTGTCATCTGCCCTTGCTGTTATGGTTTCATTCAGAATACAGTGAAATTTACATTTCCACGAAGGTGAAGAATTTAGTTGTACAAGGGACTGGAAATGTAAAGTTAAATTTCCACTATAAAGAGGGGAAAAAATCAAAAGTATGTAAATAGACAATGTCACCCAAAGAATCTTAACTCTGCCCCATAAAGTTTCTGTGCCAACACTGAAAAACTGTAAGTTGACTTTAACTATCCAGGACAAACAAGTTCACCTCATCAGTGACCACAAAGATACCTACAGCCTTCTTTCCAGAAATACATACTTTACTTTACTAATTCCTGACTCCGTGTCAAAGACAGTCATTCAACACAGTTCACAAAGATTTTATATGCCACCAATTACATAAGTGTTATTAAATATAGTGCTAGGGAATCAACATGTACTGTACTAACCTCCAACTCCAAGATAATGAATTTATGGAAATTTCATTAAAACAATAATGGATAATGAAGTGTGTGTGTGGTGTGGGGAGTATCACGCTCAGTGCTAGACACATAATGTGTATGCAGTCAGTTACAATGGGACTGATTGACAAATATGTTACTGCAGTTCACCACCAGTGAAACCCCATTGATTTAGGTGGATTTACACTAGCATAAAACTAAAGTAATACCTGGTCAATCAAGCCCACTGCTCTTAGGTTAATCTTTTTGATATTTCTACCACAAACTGTACTTATTGTCTTCTCCAGATTTAAGATGTTCATGTTCATAACCCTTAGGCTTTGGGCTTTTTAACGCCCTTGATCCAAAAATAACACATTTTAAGAAGTAGGTATATGGGAATGAAGGCTAGAGTGTTTCAGGGCAGAGTTGAGATTGAGTTTAATCGTGTATTTTCATACTTTCAGACTGGTTTATAGTTTGAAGTAGACTCTTACCTTTTGAATTTCCAAGGTTATAAAATTCGGGTTTTATTAGAAAATACAATGCTCTTTGGATCTATATTGGCTGACATAAATAAGTCTTTCTATCTTAAAAGGGATTCATCAACCTAAAAATAATATATTTTTGTTTGAAAATATTTTTCTTACTACTTTTACAAGAAACATCTAAGATTGCTGTAACTGAAAGTGATTAGAGAATAACTATTTGTTATTTCAGTTTGATTACTTTGTGCATTTGACAGCACATTATGTTCCTCCAGTTGTGTTCTATATCCTGTATAGTATGTTTCCTCTTTTGTTTGTTCGCATCTTTCACATAGCAAGAAGGAGGAAAACATATTTTAAAAAACAGGATAATACAATTGTAAAGTTGCAAAAATGGGCAGGGGGATATAGGGGCAGATGTAATACTGGAAACTACTTTCAGCATCTAGTCAGCCTTTAAAAAATAAGTTCTCATTTAACTTCAAGTTAATTACAATTTTAGACTGGAAATTCATTAAGGTTTGTGAAGATGTTTGAGATCTTTTGTTCAAAGGTGCTGTAGAAATGCCAAGTGTCATGTTTTTTATTAACATTTACAATTTTAAAGGCTCTAAAGCATATAGGAGACTATCTAGCTCTCAATGCAGCAGCTCAGCCTGGGGACTACAGTTTAATTTTTTTAAAGTTGGTAATATTAGAAAACATTCCACAGTAACTGGGCACAAAGTATTTAATTCAATTCTAGTGAAAAATAATGCAGTTTTGTGGTATGTCAGACACAAAAGGCATGTGTATATATACTGTAGGGCTGCGGTTCTCAAACTTCATTGCACTGCAACCCACTTCTGACAACAAAAATTACTGTGTGACCCCTGAGCCCCACCCAAGCAGAGGGGGTCAAAGCCCAAGCCCCACCACGACGGGCTTCATCTCTGGCCACAAGTGGTGAGGCTTGGGCTTGGGCTCTGGGCCCCAGCAAGTCTAACATCAGCCTTGGCGATCCCATTAAAACGGGGTCGTGACCCACATTGCGGTCCTGACCCACAGTTTGAGAACGGCTGCTGTAGGGGATATATGTGGCTATGACACAGAGTATTTATATAGAATATAGACAAAGCCAGTTTTATAAAAATGTGTAGTATTTATAATGGTTAAAGAAAAAACTTCTATAAATAGTACAGTAAAACGTAAAATTACTTGTAATGTGCCTTTTCTACTCAAGTGAACTAAAGCTGTCATAGTTTCTGCTTCTGAATACAGCTTCACAGCCTCCAGATAAAAATATTTTGTTTAGAATTCAATCAAGTGTTTAAAAATTACTTCTGTTTTCAATCTTGGTTATTTCTAATGTTGATTGAATCAATCTCCTTTTCTGTTTCAGTCATCGGTTCAAGGAAGTTTTATCCTATAAGGTATGTAAACGTGTTTCAGTGGTTAGGTTTTCTTTGTGTGCCCTTTTCTGCATTTTCCCTGCGGTTTGTAGTGGAATGAATAATCTGTGTTTATCTTTTAATTATGAGGATGAACACACAATGTAAATGATGTTTAATAATTCAGATCTACTCACATTCCTTCCACTTTAAAAAAAAAAAGGCTTATTTTCAGTAAAATAAAATCAGATGATTTCTCCATAAAAGAACTTTATCCCTTAGTAAAGATAAGTAAAACACCCCTAAGATTCGTGTTTTGACATGCTTCATTTAAAATCTTCTGGATACCACTCACTTTATAGACTTTAGTGTAAGTATTGATTGTTCTTAGGTATATAGACCTAATTAAATGTATAGGAGCATTTTTGTAGACTGCTTGCTTCTAGAGAACTCATTTTCCAATAGCTCTTATCTGAAAAATATTTAAAGAACTAGCTTGCTTTCTGTACAGCAACTTATTTATTAAAGTCAATACACTCTATTGTAAGCTTCAGATTTTTCTCTATCTAATGATAGTGCTTCTCCTTAATTTGTACCTTGAGCATTGGATAGGCACTTTTATAAATAGAAATAAATAATAAATAAAATCTTTACTAAGATTGTTTTAGCAATTATTTTAATTAAATTTTAATTAAAATTAAAGTATTTAATATACATTTAATATATGTTATATATGATTTAAGATGAGTTTAAAATGTCATTGATCAACAAACCTTTGAATAGTTGTAGTATCTCTTTCTCTAATCATTCTCCAGTGTGTGACTGGGTGTAGTGTTAACTAAAATTTTTGATTTCAAAATAAGAGGACTTTTTGTTCAATAATGAATTCTCATTTATGGACAAATGGATTTTACTGTTTCTTTTGCCTAAATCTGCTTCCTTATATGTGATTTTTGAGCCAGTTCTCACCTCTTCTGTAATCAGAGGTGATGTGGGGGGTCACGCGGGATAACATGCTCTCTCAGATTTCTGCCAGGGCTTATATGCCTTTCCCTGAATCCCGCTGCATACCACCAAAACCTTTAAATTCTTCCCCTTCTCCCCTCCCACCTCCCACTACCAACAGGTATGTGTCGCCTCTGTCTGTCATGATCCTGTATTTGGAGGACCTACCTTGGAAATGCTCACCAGCATTTTTGCTTTGTCTTCTCAGATCTCCCTGTGGACATCTTAGGACTCTTGATGTTGTACAGTAACTTAACTGCAGAAAGTCCCTAGAACCTTGAGAAACCTCCTCGTACTTGAACAGTAGGAAGAAAACGCCACATGTTCCTTTCAGCCCCTAGCATTCTGTGTCCATAGAAATAAATAATCTGAATATCTGTGTCAATGTCACTTTCATAGTGCTTTGACGAACTAGTTGTCAATGTTGGGACAAATTTACAAATAAGTCTGAGGACTGTTAAGTTGTCACATGCATTGTAGTTGTAGCCATGTCATCCCCAGCATGTTAGAAAGATGAAGTGGGTGAGGTAATACCTGTTATTGGACCAACTTCTGTTGGTGAGGGAGGCAAGCTTTTGAGCCACACAAACCTCTTCTTCAGGTCTGAGAAATATAGGGAAAGGTATTCCAAGTGTCACAGCTAAATGCTAACTATTTATGCTAAACAATCTTTTCCACCTTGCATTTAGTCATCCTCAAAGGAAAACTGCACAACACTTTCAAAAGACAAGCCTGGGAAATTGAATTCATAACTCTGCAAGACGCTAAAAATCATGGACTGAACAGACAAACTAGATTTATGGCTTATTGCACTAATCCACTTATCCCATCTTTTTGTCCTATGACTGCAGAGGTGTTAACAAGCCACTCTACCTTAAATGTTTTTTTTTTTTAAATTAATTCATCCCTAGAAAGTTTAGATAAGGAATCTTATAATTAGTGTAGAGGTATTGGCTAGTTCTTATTGTTGTTTGTATTTGCCGTAGTGCCTAGGTCAACCACAACATAAATAATAAATACAGCTTACTGTACCTCAAATAACTTTGGTTATAAATAAGGCTATAAGAAAGCTGTGATTTTTGTCGGGAGGAGAGGTTCCAAAAGTTGCAACCAGTTTGTTAAAGTTGCAGTGTTGCTGTGGCAGGGGCCCACTCTGGGCAGAAGTGGAGGTGGGTGCAGGACTGAAACTCTCAAGGTCATCTACCCACAGCCCCCACTTCTGGAGCCCCTGTGAGGGGGCTGGTATTGCCAGTCCCCTTTCCCACCCATGCAGGAGGCACAAGCCCCTCCATCCAGCTCCTCTTACTGGCAGCTGTGGAAAGCAAAGTCCTTGAGATTGTCGTCCATGCTTGGAGGCCTGGTGGTTGGGGGGGGGAGAGGGGCCACACCTTTGGATACAGCCCCTTTCCTCCAATGCCCAGGGTATGAGGGGGCCTGAACCCCTGCACCCTAGAACAGTTCTCAGCTCAGAGACCTCTGGAGGCCCTGTGGAAGGCTGGCACAACACTACTCACTGAAATTTGGCCTGGTCACTCTGCCATCATGACAGAAGGGCATGATTCAGTGGCATTATGACCCCATGTGCCAGATCGCAATGCCAAGCCTGTGGAGCAGAAGCACAACCTCGGAGACTTCAACCGTGGCTGCTGGTGTGTGGGGACGGTGCTAGTGCTTGGGCCTCCAATAGGGCTAGGACCAGGGGAAGCCCTGGTGGTGCCACATCGCAACATCATTCACTAAAATTTCACCTGGCTGCCCCCCTGTCATAACAGAGGGGTGGTCAGGCCAAATTTCAGTGAGGGGCATTGCAAAAATAGTTGCAGTGAGTGCTGGAAATTATGGTTTCCACAACAAAATCATGGCCTGAGATTTTTGTACAGCCTTAATTATAATTAACTTTGGTTATACAGATAGCTATAAGCATTTTTGTATGTCACGTTAGTATATTGGTTAAAATTATTGACTAGTGACTAAAGTTTCAATGTGTTGGGCAGACATTGCCTGTGCCTTTAGTTCCCATTTTAAATTCATTTTTCTTAACTTCCTTTGAGAGATCAAAGGAGACATCAAGAAGAATGACAATTCCCATATAATGATAAATCTGATTTTTTTAAACCAATTTACTTTATTTGTACATAACACGACTTATAATAGACCAACAGGGATATAGTGTACATGGAATCCATTCACTGTTGGTCACCTTGGTCTATCTGCTATCATTTTACTTTTCTGATGGGAACATTTGCCTTGATTCATTAGAGTTTAAAGTTGCAAAACTAGGGCTATGATGGTTGTAGGCTTGCGCCAGAAGACACTCAATGGCCACATTTTTTTATCTTTCCCTGAGGGATGGTTGGAAGGTAGGAACCAAACTACTTCTCATATTTAGCTTTGACAACTTAGTAGTTGCTCTCTCTAGAGAGCAAGTTAACCACACAGAAAGCTGGATAGTATTAATTATGATGTTCTTTGTCCTGATAATGGCTGCGCCATATCTACCATCAGGAAGTGTGACAGGTTGCTGTTCTTTTGAAGGGGAAATTATATAGTCGTTACCTGGACGCTAGTTAAACTTTCAGGTTGTCTCCACAGCAAAGTGAGATGTTTTTGTGTATTCACAAGCCAGTCCTCATTTTTCAAGTTAGTTGAGTGATGATGCTTACCTCAGAGTTCAGATCTGGTTTAACAGGCTGCAGAACTGACAGGAGCAGTGGGCTCTCTGGGTTGGGTGGGGTAACCAGATGAAGGCAGGGAGTTCTGTGTATGCTCATTTTTTCTATGAGAAAACTGAGTTGAGCCTGTTTCTTTGGAGACTTTGAGTGTGGCCCCATACCCTACCGAGGCGATGTTACAGCCTGAGATATAGGAGCTACCCTTCATTCATTCACTGAAATGACAATAGCTTAGCTTCCCAGCTCAGAGTTGTTTTTACTTGCCGCTGCTTTCCCTTACTTGGAGCCTCCTCCAGTACCTTTCCCACTAGCTCTGACTGCCCCTCCTGTACCAAAGCCAGGTGCTTTTGGAAGCCTCTGCCTGGAGGCTTAATTTGGTGTTTTTTTCTTAGCAGCTCTTCCTGCTCTGACCAACTGCTCCAGCTTCTTCAAGCTTCCAAACAGCTGCTCCAGCAGCCCGAATAGCTGGTAAAAAGTTAGAAGTCAGACACACACATCTGAGCTTGCAGTCCCTTCACCTAATGCAGGGACTGAACCTTTACAAATCATCTCTTTATATTAACCAAGAATGAAAGGATAACCTAGTTTGATTTAAGAAAGAGGTACTCATTTTCAGAGCTCTAACTTTGGTTCTCTGTTATGTTCTATAGAAAAGTTTCTCATGTCTGTATTGCCATCTGTTGTTACAGAGGGCTCTATAAAGCTGGACAATTCTGAAATAGTTCTTGCCAGAGCTGGTGCTAGCCCTCTGGGGACCCTAAGCAGGAATATTTTGCTCCTCCCAACACATAACAAAAAGTGAATAGGGGCTCCATTTTGCTGCTTGGGGCCTTAAGCAGTTGCTTAGTCTGCTAATGGCTAGCGCTGGCTCTGGTTGTGGTTGCTAGGTCTTAGCACTTGAAATTTCAGGTGTCCCACTTAGTATAGCTTTCAGGAGCATTCTTTTCAGTTGTCATTGCATCACAATCTTTCCCCATCCCACTGTGAGAATGGTTAACTTACCTACCCCTGCTTCATTTGTCTTGCTAGCCAAAGGCTAAAAATTGAAGTCAGAGTCAGTTCTTGATATCTTATAAGGAAGTTTCTACTTTTGTTTAAATTTATTTTGTGCTATAGAGTTGAGAGAGTTTCCCCATGTCAAGGTGTGGAACACTGGACTCCAATTTCAAATTGATTCTATACTGATTTGGGTGGGATTTGAGCAGTGGAACGTTGCCTTGTCCCCAACAAGAGTGATGGTGATTCTTTTCTGCTTCTGAATCATTACTGTTAGAGGATGCAGGATGTTTGGGTGCCTCCACACTGCAGTTTGGATGCTACCCACAAATGGGGAGAGGACGTCCAAGTCTGACCCTGTAGCAGTAGGATGACTTGGCTGCCGATTGGTGCATACGGGAAGGGCTTAAGCAGCCTGAAGTATGCCACTCAAGAAAACTGCCTTGTTGTTGGGGGCTGTGTCCAATTCCCCTGCTGAATGGAAATAGAGAAGTCTGATCCAGAGACAAACTCACTTCCCCAAAAATATAGGGAAGTAGAAGTATGGGTGTGGTTATTCAAACTTAAGTGGTACACACTTTCAAAGGCTGACTTGGAGCTGAAATAAGTACAAGTATAAATTAATTGTCGTAGAAAAATATTCAACACACAGAGTTTTCTGGTACCATTGAATGTTTAAATAGGTTTTTTTATGCTGAAATTAAATAACTTTTAAAGAGTAATGAAATAAAACCATATTTCTGTGTTTTTTTAAATTCTAGGAGCACATGATTCTTTGCAGATTTGCAGATCAGACAGCTGTTCAGCTTCCACCCGAACGCAGACTAATAGGTATGCATTTCCACAGATCAGCTGTTGTGTAGAATATATGCACTATATTTAGTGATGGGCTGAGCTTATGATATATGGGAAACACTGGTACATTAATCAATAGGGAATTAAATTGCTGTTTTCTCAGCACACTTACAGCACTGAGTGTTTCTCTTGCTGTATCTTTTTTCACTCTGTTAGTGAAGCATTTTTCCTGGTTGAAGTTTTTAAAATATGAGCTAGAGTATAATTTGACATTTTATTGATCATTATGTCTCTGCACCAGCTCCTTCCCCCTCCATACCCTGAAAAGGGAGAAGACTTCCTGAAGCCAATCTAGCTCCTGTGAAAAGTATTTAGATACTCTGGCAATGGGTGGCAGTATGAAACCCTTAGATATATTAAACATGATATAGTAGTTGGTGATAAATCATTTAAAAAACTCTCTGACAAACATCCAGGGCCAGATGGGAACTGTCCAAGAATTGTGCAGAAAGTAGCAAAGATAGGAATATCTTTAGCAGAGTTATTTAAAACTTCTTTGAAATTGAAGAAAAGGAGTACTTCTTAAGTGACCAGAAAGGAAGTTGCTGTAACCCCTGTATAAAGGGAATTATCAAGGAAAGATACAGGAAGATAGACCTATATACTCAACTTCACTAGTAAGAACAAGCTAGATACATTGGTCAGAGTGCGTTTTTAAAGACTAATTAAGGATAATTAAATCTAGCAGCATTCTGAGAATGAAGCTACTTGGTTAGTGTACTGGCTTCCAACTCCTAGGAAAAAAAACAATAATATGTCTGTGCCAATGTGCAGTTCAGGTTTTAGCTATTTGATGTATTAAATGGTAAGTTATGTTTTTCTGTTTTACATTTTTATATTGTCATGGTATATAATAGCAAAAACTATCTGCAGGTTGAGCATTTCCATGCAATTAATGACCAGCTGGACTAACGTGCATTGGTCTCTCGCTTCCTTCAGCTACTCATTAAGTGCTGGAAAATGTCCTCACCTGTTGGCAGTTATGGCTCAAGTCAGCCATGTATTAATTAAAAAGGAGAGGCTGATCCAAAGTAAAGGGGAAGGCTATTACTTTTTTAAGGAAAGGCTTTTACTAGATCCCAGATGCAAATGTCCCCAAAAACATAGATATTCGCTAGGTTGATATCTGAACCTAGATCCACATCTTACAGCTTAAGTCCATGTCTAATTCTTGTGTAGGGTAGTTACAAATGACAGATGTTCAAGAGTGGACAAAGAATTAGCTTAACTGTGGCAGATGGATGTATCATTTGTCTGCAATATTTAATCTTCCAAAGGGAAAAGGGAGACTACAAACTAGTTTTCAAGTTAAAAAAACGATTCAAGCCAAGGTAGGGCAGACACTGTTGGGGAGTGCAGGTAGATATTCTTGGCTCAAAAACACTTATGAAATACATCAAAGGCAGTAGGAACAACTAATCTAAATACATTTTAAAAAGCTGCACTTACGGTATTCAAGGTATTTTCTATAGTTCAGACTACTAAAGGAAATACTGCAGATTCTGAGATAATTTCCAATTTTACTTAAAAATAGATATGATTGTTTTGCTATCCCTGCTATATTTAGACAGGGGGAAAAAAATGGTCAGGGTTACAGCTGACAATTATACTCCACCCAGTGAGAAGGGTGTCTTCTTTTTTGCTTGTGAGATAGCCATGGGAGATGGGAAGGAAACTGCCAGTTCAAAAGAGAGGGAAGGGACATCAAATGAGCTTCTGTCTGCCTTTTGATACAAAATGTCAGGTGTTTTTGAATCATTTCAACTTTTTGTATGTTCTCTGTCTCATAGAAATTTTACACTTTTCCTCACAAACTTGTTTCCCCAAGAAAAAAAAACCTCATTGGGATTTCTATTTTAAAATGAACATTATTTTTGTATTCTATTCTATTCCATTAGACATTAGACTATTCTGTTCTACTGAAAATCTTTATAGGGGTGTGGTTGCTGTGGTTTAAGTCAGACTACATTTGTGTCAGATTCATGTTCTTTTGACAAGACAAGATCAGGTATTGAAAAGCTACATCAAATGCACTTCAGATTTTCTTTTTAAAGAAGCGTTTTAAATGATTGAAAGCATAGAAACAATTTTGGAGGGGCGGGGTGTCTTTTTTTTCTATATTTGTAGATAGTGAGAAAGTGGCTTATTCTGCTTTTTTTTCCAGTCTTTTAAGATTGAGAAAAAATTATATATGTAGTAATGCTTACTGTGGGTCACACAACTTCTGTAAAATAGTACAGGTTTATTGGCTTGTCATGCTGCCCGTGTGACACCAGATAAACACCTCAAACTTAAAGGCCTGGTCACAACAGTTCAGTCTGTTTATCTATCAATGGTGGTTATATAGTACCAATTACTGTCGGGTATCTGTGACTAAAAAACTGTGTGTCAGCTTTTGTGAAATGTACCGTAGTGACTCGCTGATCCCAAATGCATTAAATTGTGTTATTTTATCAAGCCATAGATAAGAGCATTGGAGTATGAAAAGGAGAGACTATAGTACCTTTTGCATCTTGTTCAGGACTTTATAATTATGAATCTTTAATACATCTCAAGATATTGGTGAAACTTTCTTGTAAGGGTTGTGAAACTGCTAAAAGTTCTAACTTTTCTGTGAATTATCAGTTCAGATAGTTTGGACATAGATAGGAAGCAAATGTATTGAATAACAATCACCTGAAATCTGTAAATAAAACAGATGGCTTTGGCTTTATTTTACTATGCTACAAAATTCTAAACCAAGAACAATTCAGTCTTTTCCTCTACAGTTGCTCAGATTTATTCCGAAATGTTTCGAAAATGAAGTTTTTGTTCTGATCTCTAGAAGTAATTAAACTCTATGTAACTGATGAGGGCAGACACATGCATGGCATTAAGTGGCAGTCCGCAATTTGTATTAAACTCTAACACAAGGGAGAGGGCACTACCTGCCACTATCCATGCTCTCCAATACCAGGCATTTAATTGGCTCCAATAGAAGGGTTACAGGGCTCTTTACCATATCATCATAATTGGCATTATGTAGGCTCTAATCATAATTTGCCTTAGGTAGGCTCATAATGCAGGGTAGGCTCTCCTCAGCCTACCCCCCCAGTACTCTGCTCTCTCTCAGTGCTAGCTCCTTCCCCCCCTTCAAGGGGGACAGGAGTTGCAGCAGGGTGAGGACCTTGACCCACAAAGGTTCACCTTATCACATGAGCCCAAGGTTGGGGACCATTCATTTTATTCTCTTAACTGTACTGGAAACTGGCTGCAAGTTGCAATGAATAAACAACTCCACCCCAGTACCTCAGTTAGAAATTAAGCGTGTTCCTACTCAACCTCTTTTGGCTTGAACATGCTGCAAGGAAATCAGAAAACTCCCTGGTGCCCTTCCAATTGCCTCACTGCAGAAAAATTCCATCCTGACCCCCTAAACAGGCGATTAGCTAGACCTGCAGCATCTGTCAGGCCAAGTTCCCATTCCTACTTCAGGTGGGTAGAGTGGGCTGTAACGGAGCTGAAAGAGGCTCTGTATGGCCCCTGCATTGGGCTAAATCCTGGGAGCTGGGGAGTGCTGGCCAATCAGCACCCCCCTCCCGCAGCCAGTGGGTTCCAGAGACTCCCATGGGGCGGAGTTACCTACTGTCTCTTAGCGAGTGTCTCCCTCCCTTCTACTAGGACTGTCCCCCTTTCATAACTGGCCCCATCAAGTTCCCCCGCCCATTGATGTGGGTGTGGAACATTTCTGGATCTTGCTGGTGAGCAAGTCACCCTGAGTAAACTTTGTTCAGTATTTTATTTTTGTATTTTCTATGGAAATGGGCTAATATTTCTGTTAAACAATTGAAGATTTCCAGATTTTAGCCAAGACACGAAGGAGATTAGGAAAATGGCTATGGCTGATGGGAAGTGGGGACCACCCCTACCCCACCATGAGGAGCTGGTGCCAATCTTTCCCTAGTACCAGGAGCCGTCTTTACCTGCCACGTACACGTGATGTATCCCACACCCCGTAATTTTGGGTAATAGAAAAGAACACATTGTGTTTCTCCGTCCATAAAAAAGGATAATAATCCAACCTCTTTGTCATGTGAGGTTTGTGAGGCACACACGTAAAATAATGGTTGCCATACAAATATTAATTATTTAATTAAGTAAATAAAAATATAGGTAAAATGGGGGAAAGCAGATTTAGAGATGTGGTACATCTGGATTAGGTTGCTTCTAGATTCTAAGTTATTTACTGCTATGTTTTTCTGACATCACTAATAACTGAACAATGTTCATTAATGTTGTTAATGTCTGGATGATGGGATGGATTGCACCCTCAGCAAGTTCGTGGATGACACTAAGCTGGGGGGAGAGTTAGATATGCTGGAGGGTAGGGATAGGGTCCAGAGTGACCTAGACAGATTGGAGGATTGGGCCAAAAGAAATCTGATGAGGTTCAACAAGGACATGTGCAGAGTCCTGCACTTAGGAAGGAAGAATCCCATGCACCACTACAGGCTGGGGACCGACTGGCTAAGCGGCAGTTCTGCAGAAAAAGACCTGGGGATTACAGTGGATGAGAAGCTGGATATGAGTCAGCAGTGTGCCCTTGTTGCCAAGAAGGCCAACGGCAAAGTGGGCTGCATTAGCAGGAGCATTGCCAGCAGATGGAGGGAAGTGATTATTCCTCTCTATTCTGCACTGGTGAGGCCACATCTGGAGTATTGCATCCAGTTTTGGCCCCCCCGCTGCAGAAAGGATGTGGACAAATTTGAGAGAGCCCAGCCGAGGGCAACCAAAATGATCAGGGGGCTGGGGCACATGACTTACAAGGAGAGGCTGAGGGAACTGGGCTTGTTTAGTCTGCAGAAGAGAAGAGTGAGAGGGGATTTGATAGCAGCCTTCAACTATCTGAAGCGGGGTTCCAGAGAGGATGGAGCTAGGCTGTTCTCAGTGGTGGCAGATGACAGAACAAGAAGCAGTGGTCTCAAGTTGCAGTGGGGGAGATCTAGGTTGGATATTAGGAAACACTATTTCACTAGGAGGGTGGTGAAGCACTGGAATGGGTTACCTAGGGAGTTGGTAGAATCTCCATCCTTAGATGTTTTTAAGGCCTGGTTTGTCAAAGCCCTGGCTGGGTTGATTTGGTTGGTGTTGGTCCTGCTTTGAGCAGGTGGTTGAACTAGATAACCTCCTGAGGTTTCTTCCTAATCTTCTATGATTCTTATGCCAAAGGGTACATTTCTTTGTACATCATATGTTTCTACTAAAAATTAAGGAGGTCTTTTAATGTTTCTGTTTTTGTTCTGGTGTTCTAGGAAAACACTGTATGGGGCTGGTGGATCTGGATCGGGCATGGGCTGCAGAAGGAGGCAACTACTCTGTCCAAGTGATGTCCATGGAGCCAGAGAGTTGCTCCCCAAAGAACAACATGGTAGTGGGTGTCCCTATTTAGGTTAAGATTTATATTTAATTTTAATTTAGGCATCAATCATGATCAACGCCTGATAACATCCAGGGGTTCAAACTGCTGGGAAGCAGACATCAAACATCCTGAACCCATGGTCTTCAGAAGAGGAAGTAGCAGGAAAAGGGTTGGAAAGTTGGTTGCCAACAGAGCATCACAAATCCTACTTGTAATATGTTATTAAATGACTGCTGCCTTTCATAATGAGAATCCTCAGAATTGTTCACCTGTCCACAGAGTAATATCCACCAGTAAAGATTGGAAAAGTTTTGGTTTCATTGCTGGAAAGGTGATTTTCTTTTCAGTACAGCCATCTCCGCTGGTTTTTCACATTTTGAAATTACAACTCAAAACTATATTTATGTTCACAGGTTGAGTATTTATCTGACAGCAATGTAGGTCTCCAGATGGAAAGTAAGAGTTGCTGAATGTTTTGTACTTACATTTGAAAAATCTAGTCACATATTTATGGTGTGACTTTTTATGGGCAGTCTGTACAATAATAGATCGTACATACTGTATGGCATTAGTTGACTTTTTGTTATAAAAAATCTACACTGCTGTAACAGTATTGTTTTTGATAAAGATCCTTGAAATACTTTCTGCATCATTCTACTCATCAAAATACATATTTTAATCTCTTAATTTGTTTTTAACATTTCAAATTTCTTTGGATGTGTGGCATGAGAATTCTGTGCTGAGGAATCTGAAAGAGTGGACAGCCTCTTAGAACAAAATCCTTCTGTTTATCCACTGAACAGACAGACAGAGGCAGACACTGTGTGAGCCTCCTGATTAGAGCTGGATATATGACAGAGTTTTTTGGTTGCTGGCAAAAAAAAAAAAAAAAAAGGTTTTGGATTGATTTGAAAATGAAATTATTCAATATTTTTGGTTAATATAATAATAATAGTAACAATAATAATAATTTTGGGTTGAATGAAATTTTTTATTTGTCCTGAATTGAAATGTGGTGTTTCCATTTTGAGCATCTAATGTTTTTAGTAAAATTAAAGGAAATTTTTAAACAAAAAGTAATTTTGAATCAAAAGATCAAAATGTTTCATTCAAAAATGTCAAAACAAAACATTTAGATATTTTAGATATTTTTTAAACAAAATAATTTTGGCAAAATTGACATGAATTCACAAAATGTGTTTGTTGCTGACTATGCATTTTTCACCAAAAGAGATACCTACCTATGCCTGATACCTCACTACTTACCTTGGCAAGGATTGCTATTCATCTTAGATTGAGAAACTCGTTGCCAGTGCTGGCTGATGTCTGTGCTGTTCCTAAAACAGAGTAATGGTTATATTTGGAAATGCTGAATTTTTATCTGTCATCTTCACTTATTTTTACTAAATTTAAAATGTGTAGACAGATGCATTATGGGAACCCTGTGAAAATATCTCCCATATATATGTTACAGCAGTGGTTCCGAAACTAGGGGCGCCACTTGTTCAGGGAAAGCTCCTGGCGGGCCGGGCCGGTTTGCTTAACTGTTGCGTCCACAGGTTCGGTCGATCACGGCTCCCAGTGGCCGCAGTTCGCTGTTCTCGGCCAATGGGGGCTGCGGGAAGTGGCGCAGGCCAAGGGACGTGCTGGCCACCCTTCCCGCAGCCCCCATTGGCCTGGAGTGGTGAATCGCGGTCAGTGGGAGCCGCAATCAGCCAAACCTGCGGACGCAGCAGGTAAACAAACCGCCCTGTCTGCCAGGGGCTTTCCCTGAACAAGCGGTGCCCCTAGTTTGGGAACCACTGTGTTACAGTAAAAGGAAAATGAACCTCTTGTGTAGTAGCATCTTTATATCTTAATTTAAATTAGTAGCATCATTCATTGACATTAACACAAATCAAAATAGAATATAATGAATTTGCTTGACAGGTTTACTGATTTGGTGCATTTATGAATTTTGAAATTTGTTAATTTAAAATATAACTAAAGTTTTGTCAGTGTGGCTATCACCTTAACTCTCAATGAGTGTTGCACACGAATCTACACGATGTTTGCAGAGATGGGGAAAGGAAAGCCATCCTCTGAATTTTTTTCTATTTTATGGTTACATCTCCAAAGGGTCTAGGTGTCCTTCTGTGTGAATGGCAGTGGAAGCCTACATGCTGCTTCATTTAGAGATGCAGGCCTACACAAGCAGATATAACTTCATACCTGCATCTTGAATTTTTGACTACACTATGATGCTTTTACACTAACTTCTTGACAGGTCAGGGAAGGAAGTGTGATCTTATTCTTGTATCATTCTAGTAACAGCAAAGAAACTGCACATTGTGGGCTGAGAATCTAGCTCAAAATATATAACAGCATCCGATGCCTCCTGTAATTTCTCAAGCATACTCAAACAGAAGTTAGTTTTAGAGGCAGCAGTAACTTGTTCCAAGTCTGAATACCATCTCAGTTAAATTCACTTCAGCTGAATCCAGGAATAAAGTGTGGAGAGAGGAAATTTGTTATTTACTGCATGTTGCACAGAAGGAAGGACTCACCAGGGTAAGTCACACGGTGCAAGCTCCATTTTGTCTACTTTGGAGGCTTGCATCAGAGAGAGACATCTATCTAGGCAAGCCCTATGCTGTTGGTTTTAAGCCTGGTGATTGCTAAGAGGTGGATTTAAGGAGTAGGCTTTGCTGGTCACATTTGTCTAGTATCCTACTGTAACAGATGGTTTTCTATGAACCTACATTTATAATTTGATATCATACTTATAAAATCTCTGGAGTTTCTATTTGAATAACCTGTCATTTTGTCTTGGATCCATCAATAAGCAAGAAGGGGTTGGGGCTGGGAGCTTACATTGAGTTAACATCTGCAGACATCTGCCTAGGAGATGGCCATTGAATAAAAGGAAAAAAGAACAGTAATCCTAGGAAGCAGGGGAGATAATTCTGGGCAAACATCAAGGTAGTCATCTGTGTGCGGGTGTCTTTATTTCTGCCCCTTTTCTTTCTGTGTTTCTGTTATGTGAGTTAGCTGCTTTCTAAATCTCTCAATACATTTTAGCATTGCTGTATTTATGTGGAACTAATGCACAAATGCATACATCCTGGGTGCGGGCAATATGCCTCCTTACTATCTTCTTAATTTAATCTTAATGAAATGCATGATGATGACATTGATATTGTTCCATTAAACTGATCTAGTAGTTAATTATGAAAGACACATATGTTGTCAAATTATTGAACTAGAAATGTGTTGTTCCTTGAAAGGTTGTTGGATACCTAAGGTGACAGTCCATCACTTTTGCAAATGTTCCTAAATCTTTTCTGTAAGCACAGATAATAGTAAAGTTGAAAGTTCCATATGTGATTTCTACAGCAACCATGTTTTTGCCCATGAACCTGTGATCATTGTGTATGATTCCATGTTTGCTGGTGTGTGACTCAATCTGAGTTCTTCTAGATCAGTGGTTCTCAACCTATTTATCATTGTTGGCCCCAGGTTGAGAACCACAGCGCCCCCCCCCCCCTCCCCACATAGCCCCTGACAGATCCCTATGCCTAGCACCTCCCGCCCAGAGACCCCTCCACAGGGTGGGGCCAGGAGCAGACTCCGACCCCGTGGGGCCAGCTGGCAGCCCCGGACCCCTGCCATGTCGGGCCGGACAGCAGCCCCAGACCTGGGCGGCGGGAACTTGGATCCTGTCGCACGGCCCAGCAGTCTTTAGCACACAGCTGGGCCACAGCTATGTGCTAATTGGGCTGCATGTGGCCTGTGGACCACAAGTTGAGAACCGCTGCTCTAGATTATCCCCAGATTATTACTTTGAAAAGAATGAAGGCCATTAATAACATTTTACCTATTTACAAGGCTAGCTTTTCAACAAAAAGGAGGCACACAAAAACACATTCCACATAGAGAAACTTTCACTGAAACGATCAGTGGCTTTCATGGGTTAAATTCAGTAGTCTCTAGCAAGTTCCAAAATTATACCAAAACATTAAATGAAGCTTTAGGTCTCCTAAATGAATAACTGATTAAAGTTATATGCAAAAAGTGAAGCTGAAAACTTTTTTCATTTGACTTTTAATTATCTCTCTTATTGACTCCATAGTTAAGGGTGTAAAAAGCTGCCCCTTCCCCCAATCCCTTGTTCCACTCAAAATGATTGAAAATGTTTGAAAATTCTCCCGGTTAATCTCAGGCTTGAGGAAACATATTTTGGGTAAATTAAAATAAATCACTCAAACCATTTTTGAGTGGAAAAGTGACAGGCTTCTGACTTTATAATGTATGTCAAATTGTTTATTTGCTAACTGGGAATTGAAAACAAGCGTGGGCTCAAGAGTTTAAATTTGTACATACTTTCTTATTTCCTTAGAACTAGTGGTTGAGATGAGATCATTTGGAGCAAAATTGAACAGTTTGAGGTTTTTCTGTTAACTGATTAAACAGTCAGTGATTCCAGAGATTAAATTCTTCATTGACTCTTTGGCCCTCACCCATTAGTCTGTTTCGTCTACTTGTTGCATATTGTTATAAGCCTTGATTGTGAACCTCTCTAGGTCAAGGGCTGTCTTTTTTACTAGTTTGTACAGCACCTACTTCAGTGTGGCCTGATGCTTGCTATGGGGTCCCTACGTGATACTAATACAAATAATGAATACCAATAATATTAATTAGTGGTCATTCTAGTACTAACCTATTAAGTAACTAACTTAATAAAAATAAGTTTCTAGCCGTTGTCCAATATCCTTCAGAAATGTAAGCCAGGCACCAGAGTTGAAAGTTTGCCAAAACTCTGTCTTGTTTATCAATCACAGTCCCTGAGCCATTAACCTCTAATACTCCTCATGCATTCCTGCTTCAAATAGATATCATCTTCTATCCTTCCCCTGTCCAGTGCACTCCCCATATGGCTTTGGTAGCTTCCCTGCTAAAGTCACAGGGATAAACTGTCAGTGTCGCTGTAGCTCACGAAAGCTTATGCTCAAATAAATTGGTTAGTCTCTAAGGTGCCACAAGTCCTCCTTTTCTTATTCCTCCCTCTGGTTTTAAGAGTTAGAACAGTACTATTCAGTATATACGATGGGTGAAATCCTGGCTGCATTGAAGTCAATGGCAAAACTCCCATTGGCTTCAATGGGACCATAATATCACCCTTTGACTTTAAACAAACGAGATGTTAAATTAACAAAGGATTACAAAGAACACAGAATTTCCAATAAGGAGCTAAAAGCATGTGTGAATTGTTGCAAAGTGTCTTGACTAAACGGCATCACCCAGAAACCTCTCTCCCCTTAAACAAACAGGTTGCCAAGACTAATAGTGAAAGAGGAGAGGAAAATGGCCCTGGAATGCAGCGGAACTGGAAAAAATGGTATGAACCCAGAACAAGCTCTCAGCACGGTCACAGATGGCTGAATCTGGTAAAAAGTATGAGATACCAGAATGGAGCAGACACCCAAGCAACATGGGCCATTGCTCACACAAGCACCAAGGCTAATGTGTAACACAGTGACAACCTGGAGAACACAGCCAGCAACTGTGTACAGAGTGTGGCCAAAGCAAATAAGACACAAGCACACAGTGGAAAGTCAATAATGTATTAACAATTCCTAGCTATTTCACAGATCGATCATAAAATAATCTAGGGGCATACATATATTACATTGTATTGCAACTCTGTT